ATTATTATTATTATTATTATTATTATTTTATCCTGCCTTTTTCATATAGAACTCAAGGCAGAAAACATACCTACCACCTATTTTCCCCACAACAACAACAACCCTGTGAAGTGAGTTGGGCTGGGAGAGAGTGACGGGCCCAAAGTCACCCAGCCACCCTTCATCCCTAAGGGAGGCCTAGAACTCACTGTCTTCTGGTTTCTAGGCCAGCACCTTAACCACTACACCAAACTGCCTCTAATGATACAAGACAAATGGGAAAATGTGCAAGTGGGGAAATGTTGACTGTTGTGGTCTTACAGATGAATTGAATGAAAATTACCATCATTTCCAGCCATCACTGAGAAGACCTTGGGGTCGAAGATGATGACATTATGGAATTTAATACATTACAAAAGAGCATGCCATTCAAAAGCCTCTGAGAAGGAAACAGTCACAAACTGGAATTTTGCAGACATCCATATTTCAAGGACATGTTAAATCTGCTTTTGCATCCGTCATGCAGTTGATTTTTTTAAATGAATGCTGTCAGGATAGGGAGGTATTCACAATCTTTGTGAGAGATCCACAAAGAATCCAGGCAGAAATTTGGTCCAGCCTGGGCCTTTTCTAGACTGGAAGAGCAAAAGCATTCTGAAAAGGAAAAAAAAAAAAAGCACAGTGGTATCCATATACTTATATACAAACTGTTCATTTCAACTTATTCCAAATACTTTCAAAACTCCCAATATGCAACAATAATTAGGATCAAACTAGGCAAAGAAAACAGAATTTAATTCATCTCTCCTGAAGTCTGTCCTGAACTGGTATTTATCCAACAAAAAATAAGAACTTTGTTCCAAAGCAAACAGCCCCTTCCTAGGAAGCATGTTCCTCAGGATCTTGGCAGAGGAAGAAACAGGTAGGTTCCCTTTTGCCTGTGTTAGTTATGTCTATGCCTTCAGCTGGTGTAATTTGCATTTTTAAAACCCTGCAGGCTAAATGAAAAATTTGGCCCAATCTCAGTGCCTGACAAGTTAATATGCAGAGGGCTATTTAAGGCAGTCAATTTGTTATATCAGAAAAGTGTGACAAGACAAAACAAAAGTATAATGTTGGTGTTTCTAGTGGCGGAAAAGAAAAGTTATGATCAACACTTGGTCATAACTTATGCAAAGGCCCAAGGAAAGACAAGGATGTGATTAGTCTGGCCCAAAGAAAGAAGCCTGGCTAAGGGAAAGGATTCACTCTGATAAACAAAGCTTTGCAAACACTTAGTGACAATAGGAAGCCTTTCTTTCAAACAGCCTGCTAAACTGGCACTCCTCTTGGCCTGTGTACCTTGAACCCAAACATCAGGAGTTGTTTATAGCTAATAGGAATGCCAAGGGAGGATCTTCACTGGGGTTCTTCCCACAGCATTCCTTTCTCATCTCAGCCACATATTAGCAGGGTTCAGCTAGCATGCTAAGCCAAAATCAGGCCCCAAAACATACATTACATCTTAGCAAGATGAGTGAAACCAGCTATTGCATCTGAACTGACCAGGCATGAGTGGTAAGCCTGACTAAGCATCTGCAAGAGCTCACAATTAACTGTAGTCCCTGTGTTGTGAGAAAAATGTTCACTTTAAGTAAGAAACCAAAGTGATTGGAGATAGATGCAACTAAGATGCAATCTCTCAATAGAAAAGGCACTGATGGCAAGGAAGAGGATTCATTCATTTGCTTTTGTTCTGGGGGATCACTGCTCTTCATGGAATGGGGAGGAGAAATACATACAGGTAGTCCTTGACTTATGACCATTTGTTTAACGGCTGTTCAAAGTTATGACTGTGCTGAAAAAAGTGACTTAAAACTGGTCCTTGCACTTAAAACCGCTGCAGCATCCCTGCAATCACATGATCAAAATTTTGGGCACTTGGCAACCAGCATGTATTTATAATGGTTGCAGCATCCCGAGGTCATGTGATCACCATTTGCAATCTTCCCAGCCAGCTTCCAACAAGCAAAGTCAATGGGGGAAGCCGGATTTGCTTAACGATGTGTGATTTGCTTAATGACTACAGCAAAAAGGTTGTAAAATTGGGTGCAGCTCACTTAATGACTGCATCACTTAGCAATAGAAGTTCCAGTCCCAATTGTGGTTGTAAGTCAAGGACTACCTCTATAGACTGAGTTCACATATTACATTAAGCCATGGTTGGCTCAATTACATCTACTGAATAAATCACACTTGCCATAAATTATGGCATAATGTGCAATACCATAAACCATGGTTTCCAAATCACAACCATCAACTAAATAAAAAATCCAAACCATATTAAGGATTAGTACAATGTTTACACACATACCCTTGGAGCTCTAGAAATTGCTGCTAGGGGTAAAAGAAAGATAACAAGCCACAGCAGATATCTGTTCCTATTCTTTCCCATTCAGTACAATCCTCACTATCCAGCCAATACAATGCAATTCCCATATTTTGGACTTCAAATCCCATCATCCCAAACAATTATAGCCAGTGGCAATGTGCTAAGTGTAGTCCAAAACATCTGGAAAGTACCAGGCGGTCTACTGCAGCCACCTTTGAGCAATAGCAACTCTTTGTACAGATCTCAGCATGGTCTCCTCTTCTGGCCTGAGTACAATGTTAGATTAAACACATCCTCAAATGAAAGTGCAATCCTCTACAGATCTATTCAGAAAATAACATCACCCTCCCCACCCCCATGTAAATGGCTGCTAATTTGAAGCTTTAATCTCTTTCCTATTCCAAGTTTTCCAATATCATTTTATAGCTTTCTCTAACCTCTAACGATCATGAGTAGATCCTCTCCCCTCTCAACACTGGAAGTATTGGCAAAGTACCAGCTAACTAGTATTAGAAAAGAGTATTTTAAAGCCACCACTATCTTTGTGGCTGTTATATGTATTGGAAAAGTGGGAATTACAGAAAATTCTGAATCAGAAAACTTCCAAAAAGTTCAGCTGTCCTAAATCTATTGGGACTTGACCTGACTGTAACAACAAACCATCAGCATACTATTTTCAGCATGTTCAAAGAACTGAGTACTATGTGGATGCCCACATGCTTTTTAGGTAGTCACCTCAAAAAATTGATTACCCCTGGGGAATTTCAGCTTGACTGGCATGAAATCCAGATGCATTATGCTATGATCAATGCAATGAAATAATGCATTTCAGAAAATGAAACACCTTTTGAAGAAAAGGTTTATTAACAAAAATATTCAACCTGTATCACTGGTCAGAGCTGTCACAGCAACTTGAACCCTCAATTCTTGTGTAGCCACTGAAAATGGTAGCAGTTTCACACAACCTGAAAAGATTTTAATCTCAAGTTTAGATGAGCAAACTTGTGCCTTTCAAATGTTTTTAGACTTCCACCCCCATCAATACAAAGGGGCATGACAATGGCAAGAATTTATAAGAACTGTAATCCAAACATTTAAATAATACAGGCTGTGTAAACTTGCTCTAGCAGACTAGCAATGTTGCTAGAAATTAGGTATTTAACACTATAGAGTAATTTGGGGTAAACCTGAGGAAGGTAGCATTTAAAAAAAAACAACTAAATACAACTATATTCAACCACACATATTGGGTTTAAGCCAATACAGTCAGCTTCTTTTTGCTTAGTGTAACCCAGCCACTATGATAGGTAAATTGTATTTTACTACATCTAGACCAGGCTGTTGTATCTTACTTAACATACATTACGTTAGCCAAATTCATATCAAACCATTCTACAAATGGAAAGCTATTACCAAGAATGCTTTTCAATGTATCCTTCCAATCTTTAACCTGGCATTTAACTTGGTAAGTTAATTTAAAAGATCATACAGGTAGTCCCCAGTTTAAGAATGAGTTCCATTCCAAAGGTCTGTCCTTAAGTCAAATTTGTATGTAAGCTTGAACAGTATTATTGTATAATACTGTATACGTAGTATTATGTAATTAATTCAAACCATTGTGTATTTAACTCAAATTTTGCTACAATAGGCTCCGTTCTTAACTATGGGTTGTCCTTAAACCAGGCATTCTTAACCTGGGGACTACTCACACTATCTTAGAAACAGTGGTGGGCTGTACAGGTGAAGATGATACTCCAATTTTAGATCTAAAATACTTAAGTATTAGAATAACCAACTTTCACTTACCTCGAATTCCCCAAACTCAGTGTCTTTCCAATGTATTAGACATCATTTCCCATAATTCTCAAAAAGAATGGCCTTTAGCTATATTGACCAAGAAGCATGAGAAGTTAAGTCTGGCACTATGGGGGGAACAGTCTGGGAAAGGCTAACCAAGAATATCAACAGGTAAGAAGCACAGACACTGGTGTTGTTTCCATTAGTTCGCTGAAATCTGTTCTTGCAGATATTTCCAATACACTGTAAATGGCAATCCCAATTACAGTGGTTAATTCTGAATTTACAAAAGCAGGATTGAGGGCCAGTGTCAAGTCTCTAGCAGCTGCTCACCACCAAGGACACCAGAATCTCATAGAATCTATTTAATCAGATGTATTGAAAAGGAAAAGCTAGCTTACAGAAAGCTTGGCAGCTGTATACACTTACATTACCACTCCTATACGTTTGTTAGGGATTCCTTGATCCTCTTGCTGACCTCCTGCTCATACACTGGGGAAGAAGGCAAAGCAGGAATGTGCAGCTGTGTAGTATTTTGCAAATTGTCAGCCTCTTTCCCAGGCTCTAGGAAATCCACTGCAAGGAAGCTCAAGCAAGAGAGCAGCTGAATCATCAGATGAAGTTGATATAAATCATTATTGGCCACCACCATAATATTCTATATATACTAAACATCACACATGAATGTAGCATCATGTAATTCTATCCTGCCCCTTTTTTTTTTTTTTTTAAACAAAGGGCTTAATACAGTGTACATGTCTTACAAATCTCCAGCCTTACAAGAACTCTACAATGTAGATTAAGCCAAGATTTAGTGATTGGCATAAAGCCACCCAGCGAACTTCATGGCCAAGTGGGAATTTGAACCTGAGTTTCCACATTATTGGTCTAACTCGGGAACAGAAAATTTGATATTTTGTACAACAAATCCCATAACATCTTGCCATTGCCCATGCTGGTTGAGGCTGATGGAGGTGAAAATTCAAAATGTCCAGAAAGCCTATGATGGTTCTATGCTATTAAGGCAGAAAGAACATTCTTTTTCATGCCTCATTTGCCACCCAAAGAGACAGTATTAGCTATGAAGGTTAAATATCCTTAAAAAGAAATTTCAGAAGACATGAAGGCTACATCTGACAGAGATTATTAGCCATGTTAACTACATGAAGCACTAATTATGTTATTCATACTGAACCATAGTTGGCTCTAGACTGCAGAACAATCTAGATTGCTGGAAAGCAGTTGTTGCTTTGCACCTCAGTTGAGGACTTCCCAAAGAGATTTGTTTTCTATTGTGGGAAGTAGAACACTTTGGTCTGAATTAGCAGGAATGCTGAGTTCTTTATCCAGGGGTAAAACAAAGACTTTCTGGAAAGACAACTCATATCCTTTGGGAATTTGGGGCAGAACCATTCAAAAGCTTAATCACAATGCTACATGTAATGTAGTCAACACTAAGCTATGCTTTT